TGCGACGCAGCTGCGTCGTACTGTCACCCGCCTTGGAAGGACAGCGACGGCGTGAGGATGGCACGGGCGCTCTCCAACGCCGCCGCGACCGCCGACGTTTCGTTGCGAAAGCCCATCAAGCAGCAGTCGATAAGAAAGCTTGACGCACGTTCCTGCTTGAGGTCAGTACAGCTTAGTTGTCGGTAGATATACCGTGCTCGTCGCAAGCACCGAAGCGGTGCGGATCACACCGTCGCCTTGCAATTGGAGCTCGCTGTCCAGGCGATCTACGCATCACCATGAGCCTCATCAGAGAGGTGACTGCATCGTGCCATTGAGGCCACTGCACGCGCGACCAAGCACGTCCACAAGGCGGTAGTTCAAGGTGAGGCGCTCGACGGCCGGGCCCAGCGTCGGCGACGTCGGCCGCTCCGTCGACCCACGCGCTGCGAGCCCATCAAAGTTGAAGTCGTTCTCCCAAGCATCCTCGTCGTCTACGCAAGCCATCGTCATTGCCCCACTGCCATGCGCATCATGTACCCGAGAGCGGCTCCAGGCGGCGCCGGGACATGCTTCCGCCGAAGATTGCAACTGCTCACGACGCCCTGGATTTTAGCCAATGAGTTGCCATCGCTCCGATCTTCCGTATCCGGACTTTGATCCGGACGGAGTCCACCCAGCAAAGTGCGCGTCGCGAGAGGCTATTTATAGCCCCACGCGGGTCACCGTACTTGTCCGAGTGTCTAGGCACACGCCATTCTTACACTGCAGGCAGTGCGCGTACGTCGTCTACGGTGCTGCCGACGCAAACGACTGGCATGAACTCTCTCTTGAAAACACGTTATGTATCGCAGAAGGGGTCTTGCAGCGCATAGATACCATTTTGGTTGCACATCGCAGAAGAGCGGATGCCTAAAGAGTGGTGCAGTCAGCCTACTGAATGGTGGAACGGCGTACTTAATAGGACTTCGCGGGAAATGGTCTGGGCGGTCATATTGGCCTCGGCAAAGTCGCACGCAAGATGACCCTTCTGTCCTTTGAAGGTTCGTCTCTCTACCTGCCAGGGTCGTGGCCAAGACAATGCTAATGAACATATCTATGCAGGTATTGACGTTGACATTCCATTCCGGCCATCGATGGGCTGCGCTTCTTCTTTGAGAACGGCAGCCTCGCGATCGAGTGCACCAACTTCACCGGTCGGTTCGCACTCTCCAAGCCGCCACCCAAGCTCACCGAGTCCAAGAAGCGTGTGGCCGAAGAGCCGTCGCCGATCGTTATTTATGAAGACCCGGCCAAGCGCCAAAAAACGTCGCCCATCAAGGTAGTCGCGCCCAGCGCATTACATCCGTCGTCGATGCACACTACTGCGAGTAGGTGGCCTTAAGCAGCAACGCCAGCGAGTCGTCCGAGAAGGTGCGCTCGCCGCTGCAGCCTTTGCCGGCGAAGTCGGAGCCCGCGGATGTGGCCAAGGAGTTCATGTCACCGCCGGCCAAGGCCAAGGGGAAGCGCGGCCGACCGTCCAGAAAAGACGCCGTCAAGAAGACCGCGGACGTCAAGTCGTTTTTCTCCCCGAAAAAGGATGAGAAGGTCGACGCTACCAAGACGGTAAATGCCTCGCCTCCCGACGCCTTGGCGGCAGACGAGACAACCGAGGTTGACGAGGCGCCCGAGGAAGCGCTGATCGCAGCTACCGAGGACGAAGAAGCCAAGCCAGCGCCGCCGACAATCGTGCCGACGTCGCCCGTCGATGTCGACGCGCCGCCTGCGCCGAGCCAGGGCCTCGAGCACTTTACGGGCAGCTACGCTGTCGTACCCACCTCGGGCACGCCGCCAAGCCAGCGCTGGGGCGCGACCGCAACGCGCATCTCGGAGAATCGAATTGTGCTCTACGGCGGCGAGAGCGAAGACGAGACGACGCTGGCGGATATCCATGTGTTTGACATTGCGACACATGCGTGGAGCCGTCCGGCCAACTGCGAGAGCCTGCCGCGGACGTGGCACAGCGCCGTGTACCTGCCCAAGAACGAGCTACTCGTTGT